TCATCATATTAATTGCGTCACTCATATTGCCCTTCTTGTCTTAACTATGCCTTAGCATTTCGGAACTTTCGAGATATTGCCACTTAATGTTTTTATTTTTAATAAAAAATGTCAATTACGCTGGTTTGGCTTAACAATAAAACTGAAAAGATGTAAAAAAAACGATTAGAGGGGGTTGTAGATCTCGACGCACTGATCCTAGATATGTTAATAACTTAATTTCGTTAAAAATATCCATCACGTCACTTACGGTCTGTTGATCTGATCGATGAAATTCAGTAAACGCTGAGTCACGTCTTGTTGTCTAATATTTATTATTATATTACGCTTTAGTAGCAGTAGAGCTCCTTGTGAAAGAATTCGTCCAGGGCAGTACGGCCACCTTACCTATTTGTGCCGCCAAGCAGTAATCTCAGAATTACTGTGGTCCGGTTTTGAACGGTTAGGTTAGGTGAAATTAAAGGCACCTATGTCTCAGGGTGACAGGCGCAGTGGCTGTGCTCCTCAGATCTTTGTGATTTAAAGCTCGGAAGTGGCACTGCAACTGGCGACACGCACTGGCGCACGACTTGTTCGTCCCATCACTTGATATTATAAAAAATGAACGTAATTATACTGGGTGACCCCGTACTACTCCACGATGCCAAGACGACGTGTTGCCCCGGCGGCGACCATACTCAAGTGCTCATGAGCGTGTAAAGTGTTAAAATCATGCAATCCATTGTTGCAGGCAAGCCAAGCTCTGAACCTGTGCGCGTCGACAATTGAGTTCAGCGGGTCTACGGAGCAGGCTGAGGGCGAAAGATTGTTACTATTAGCAAGTAAGTCAAGAACTCCTGCATTAAGTGTTATCTCAAGGTACCACGCCCACCTCACATTAACCCCTTTTTTAAGACTACCGCGACACTGTAGCGCATCGTCGATGTTTGCTCAAGCGGGAGTAGATGACTTCTTTGCTGTGATGCGAAGAAAGACAGCGTCACTACTCTCAAGATTGCGTTCTAGTCATAACAGCATCCTGGAAATGTTTACTGTTAAACTCGATACGCTGTTGCTTCGCGATTGCATCCAGGTTCTTGTGAGGTAATGGGGTAGTCGGCGCCTCGCGCGTAATAAAGTGTGTTTTTATGTGTTTGTGGTTTGCCTCTGTATTTACTAATAATAGTCGTAAGTTTAAATTGTTTGTATTTACTGCCAAGCAGTGTTAGGCGTTAATCAATTAAATTTCAATCAGAAATTGAATCAGATTAAAAAATCAATTCAATTGAAATCAATTGCAATTGATTTTAATTGCAATTGATTTTTTAATCTGATTCAATTTCTGATTGAAATTTAATTGATTTTAATTGTAATTAAATTAATTGCAATTATTTTTTTTAGTTGTTGTAAGAAACAATTGAAACTAACAATTAAAACCGAAAGTACCGAATAAACGTGTCATTACGAATATGGGTTAGGGGGTGGGTTAGGTTTGTGTTAGGGGATGGGTTAGAGGGTCGGTTGGGGGGTCGGTTGGGGGGTCGGTTTGGCGTTCGGTTGGAGGGTTGGTTGGGGGCTCGGTTGGGTGCCGGTTGGGGGGGTCGGTTGGGGGGCCGGTTGGGGGGTCGGTTGAGAGGTTGGTTGGGGCGCCGGTTGGGGGCGGTCAGGGGTGAGTGACCCACCCCCTAACCCACGCCCTAACTCACCCCCTACCCAGCCCTAACCCACCCCCACATGCCCTATAAACTTATCATAATTGTTAAATATCATGTAATAATAATAATAACGCACACACTCAACATACCCCGCACTAGGGAAACCCTGTGTCGCGGGTGCCATTGACACACACATATAGACAACCACAAATTACACCCAAACTCACGAGAGAAACAAATGTAGGCCATACAAATATTTCTCCCGGCCCGGGAATCGAACCTGGGACCTCTGCGTGGCATGGTAACCGTTCGGCCACAGAGGCAGTTTAGAGGCAATGTCATGGATTAAACTTTAATATCAATCAATCGAAAAGCTGCACGACAAGATTGAAAATCAGCAATCTGAATATTTGGCCTTTAAGCTGTTATTGTTATTATGTTTTTTATTACTTTCGGCCGTCCATAAAAGAATTCATTCTCTACATAAATTGTGTTATGAAATATTTTCAGCACATAGGCGTCAAGCGTGTCTACATGAGGTGCAGCGACTGCAGGTGGAGGGCGCAGGCGAGGCGGCCACTGCCGGGATGGCCTCGCTGCACATTCACGGCCTCAATGTACCTTTGCGAAGAGACTATATACGGCAACTTAACGCAGGTATACAACACTTCGGTCCGGCCGGATTCGAACAATATATATAATAAACTTTATATAATAACTACTCTATTAAATAAATTTTAGTAGCAGTAGAGCTCCTTGTGAAAGAGTTCGTTCAGGAAAGTACCTTACCTATTTCTGCTTTAAACGGTAAGGCTGCTGGAGAAATTACAGGCACATTTTTTGTATAATTCAATAAATTCAATAAATATAATTTTAAAATTTAAAAAACTTAAACGTCTGTTTAAGTACTTTTAAATGTTGGGCATAGTTATAATTGGGAACAGATATGCCTACTGTATTAATTTTTAAGTGTTTTTTTTATATTGTTTGTTTCTTTTCAACTTATGTCTCAGTATGACGGGCCGTCCCGTCACTTAGTACCATAAAAAACCTCAATGATCGGAACTGAGGGAGATAATTTACCTAAAGTATAAACGTTTTCTTAGTATGGAGATACCCATTAGTTGTATGATGACGGTACCCTAAAATCAACACAACATGAATCGTAAAAATTATGGAATGTTGAAGAAATCACTAATTAGTCTTGACTAAAAGGTTAAATTCACATCGCAAGCCATTAAGGTTCCGTTTTATAGCATTTTCTACGACTTGTTAACGAAAATCCGAGATACTAGATTACAAAGTAAGTACCTCCCAATATTCCGTTGTTCGATTCTTTACTACATAAGCTGCGAGTCCATGTCATTCGCATCCTCGACTCCTGTTCATTCTGCTGAACCTTTGTTGTATAATTTCTTTATATATTTTCTAAAATACATGCTTCTCTTAATTCAACAAGTATTTAAATTCAGTGAAATCCTTCTCCAAGACAACTACAGAAACTCATCGTAAAATTCAAACCTTCATTTCTTCGAACCTTTCACTCACCATCTCCCACAAGAAGAGGAGAAAAATATGACTCGATTGTCTCTTATGTTATTATATTATACTGTTTATTTTTTAAATGACTAATGTATTTAAATACGTAAGTACGTAAAGAAACACAACTACGATATTATTTTTTGAGACAATAATCTGTAGCAAATACTTAAGTCTGGAACAAATGCCAGATTGACGAAATAGGCGCTTTTTAAATTAAGTTCCTGATAATTATTATTCGTATATCAATGTCATAATAGTCCAATAATCACAAAAAATATATATGATTTCTAGTAGTTCTTAAATAATTGAATGTATTGAGCAAAACTACAATTTATTAAGCTCTTTTTACGAAATAAAATTTACAGTTATGTCCTTCAAATTGAATAAAAAGCAATTTCTCTTTACATGCAAATATCCGTTGTTTATAAAATTTACGCGAAAAAATAGATAATTTAATTTCAAACAGGATGTATTGTTCACTTTTTTTAACTTATATAGTTCATAAGTTAAAAGTTATTATTTGAAAAAAAAAAATTCGTTCCCACTCGCGAGGTCTGCGCACGCTCTACGCTCCGAACTACGCTCATTCGCCTTTCAGGCTTTGCGACTGGTGGACCGCGCGTGTGTTTTTGAGCGGGTTTATGCCACAAAAACTGAGAGAGAAACTGAATCCAAGCATAGGCATTACCAGAAACCCAGACCAGACCCAAGTTCAGGAAGTTCATTTAAATAATCTGTTGTAAAGGAAATCAAACCCAGGACCAAGTACGGAATTCACTCAGCGACCCTTTCCAGAACTCCTAGGCCAAAACCATTTTAGAAAAATTTTCCAAATGGTTCTACCGGGAAAAAAATCTACAAATCTCTTAAAACACGACCACACACACAGCATATTCTCGTGAGAAAAAAAATTCACTTTATTTAACACATTTGAAGTTCTATATTGTATTGCTATTTCCAAAGTTCGACCTAAGCAGTCGATTAGACGAATTAGACGATTGCATCGCTAAACTCGCGATTTATAGGCGATTGCATCGATGCAAACGCACGATTGATCTTATTCTTTAGTTTGACTAAATTAACTCCTTCAATACCGATCACTATTAAATAATATCTATAACAGAAGACTTATTATGTATATATGTACAGACGGCGCGGTGGGCCACCACGCCGTATGCCTGGTGAAGTGCCGCGACCGCGTGCTAGCCACCAGCATGCAGCAGTCGCAGCCCTCAACAGCGCAGCTGCACTTCCCCGACGAGATCCGCATGGACGGGCTCACCAGCGACTTCAAGGTACAGTTAAATATTTCCACAGTAAATTGACTCATGAAGTATTGCCCTCCTTGTCATAACTAACGTAATCGACATTTTTAGTGAAATTAATTTAATATATTATCTGGAATGAAATAATACAGCTTGTGTATGGTGTAACGTTAATTACGTCTTTTAGATTCAGGGGTGGTAAGCTGCACTGCTCACTCAGGTTCAGATGAACTGAAAAATATTAATTGTAATCATATTTAGTTTAGCTACACTCTACTATCTCGGTGGCTCAGCAATAGGTGCTAGTTGAGGAGGCCTCGAGGTCGATACCCGGTAGCTGTAATTTGAGAAATAACGGGTAGTGCCCGGAGTTAATTTCTTTGCTCTGGTGGAAATTTCCTAGTTGGAGACCCTGGTAATTGCGTGTAGTTGTCTTTATTATACTATTATTAATTTTGTTAAGATTAAGTCTGTCATATTTTATTTTCTTACAGGTGACTGTCGAAGTATACCTATTACAAGCGTCTAAGGAAGTGCTGCCACATGACGTCAAATACCACATATTTAATAAAAAGGTATAACACTATTTGTACATTTATTCACTTGATAAACTCGTATGCAGTATTCTTTATTAATTAATTTATCACTTGATGACTGCACATGCAAACATTTTTTGCATTTGTATGTCCATGTTTGAAAAAAGCTTAATAAATCTCGTTGAACACGTGCCCCGCACGTTCCCAACACGCATTGGGACTTTAACTTTATCATAAATTTTAATTGTAAACTTGAAAAGTACTTTTTTGTTTCGTTGTACAAAATAATTTATCAATACCGAGATTAATTGTTCGTTCCCATATCCGTAAGTGCATCGGCATTCGGTCAAAGGACGATTATACTATTCTGATAGTATTTGTTTTGTTTTTTCAGTCAAACTCAAAATTGTTAACGCCGAAGTCGAAAGTGTCGGAGTTAAAAACGCCGCGTGTACAGTCGCCAGCTGGTCCTCTCTCGGTACGCAGTCCGCAATTCCAACTGCACGGATACTGCATCTTCGCACTCTCGCAGGCTAACAGAAAGACATTCACGCTGAGCAAGGTAAATTAAATTCTCATATACAGTGATAATATTTATTTAAGTATGAATGTCGTCACTCATCACACATACATTTTCAGTTAGTATTTTTATTTCAAATATAAGATAATACAATGTGTTGATTTGCATTCTCGCCATATTTACAGAGGTCATTCTATGTCCAAAACCGAACCCAAATCACCAAAAATATTAATCCAAAAAAATGTCCGCAATTAAACAAAAAATAAATTCATCATCGGTAAACATCGATTCGCAATGACTTGATCCTCCTTGATCCAAAGACCCAAACTTGCACGGCACTTGCTACCAAAACTTGTAGCGCAGCCGGTGGAACCGATAAAGTATTGCTATCTCTTTCTCAAACGCATTACCTCCCTAATTAGTGGGCTCGCTCACGCACAAGGATAAGGTGGGATAGCTGAGCTCGCCGCAATTCCAGTGACTAGTTAGTCTCTCACGAAATACCACGGGGTTTTTACATACCAAACAAGAGTTAGTGTAAAAAAGAACCGCTACCAGATTTACCAGAACCCGCAATTCCATGTGCTAGTGCGTCACTATTACCTATGGGATGATGAAACCTAGTTTAGAAGTTACGCGGAGGACATTACAAGTGTCTTAGAATTGCGCGCAAAAATCGTCTCTGCTTTCAAAGTTGTGAAGTCAAATGTGCTAAGAAAGTTGAAACGAAACTCACATGTGAATTTGCAGCTGTGGAGCTAAGTACTTCTAGCAATACTTTCTTGTAACCTAAAGTTGGTAAGTACCAAAATCTAAGTAAGTAACAAAAAAAAGTCGGTCAACTTTTCTAATTATTAGAAATAATTAGTAAATTATAACAATACGAGTACATAATCATAATAAATAATTGGTAAATAAGCAATCGAGAAAGATAACGCGCTCGGTGAAGCGGGTGGCATGGCGAGGTCACTGTCCGCGCGCGGTGCATACGATGTAGGGACAATGATGCAAAACTTTACTAGATACTATTAGCCAGAATATTGAACAGAATATTTTTTTTAAATATTTTTAGATGATTTAGCATTGTTTCTATTATTTGATCTAGAATTTAAATAATATTATCTAGAATTTAAATCAACACACTGTTTGAAAGTTGTTTATTTTATTTATAATTAATAATTTGATTGAAAAAAATTGCCAAATGGCTTGTCTATTACATCTAAAATAAAACACAAAAAAAAATTCAATCAAAAACACTAATAATATAAGTAATGAAAACCAAATAGGAACGAAAATTAAAAGGGACCGCTCTGAACCGTACCCGGCTCAAACGTCCCCATCACACTAGCCGCATTACCGCGCTGGATGGCCAGTGAAATCTGCTGCACCAGGTAAGATCCAGAGCGTGGATCATAGCCCCTTTCTCGGAGTCGGCGGCCCAACTCCCGCACAAATTCCTTGGCCTCAGCAGCCCAAGTCCCCGCAGTCTCCACTGCAATTGGCACAAAATCGTACATTGGTTCCAACGCGCTGTATTTTGTGTGTTTTAATTTTGCCGCATATTCCGCAGCTGACCCGGCAAATCTGGTGGTGTGACTCAGATGGGACGGTGCAAATGTACTGACACACGTAGCGTCCCACAATAGGCATCGACCTCTCCGCCATGGAACCAATGTAAGACCGTCAGGCCTCTTGCCATCCGTACGGCACAACCCCGGAGGTTCCAAGACACAAGGCACGTTAGCCAATACCAAAGCCCGGCGAACTAAATCGTTAATCGCATGATGCCTTGAAAACCGCCCCGCGCACCTTTGACAACTGAGGCCGTGGTGGCCATTCTCCTCAACCATGACCCCACAAATGCAGTGATGCAGTTCACAAACCTTACATCCCAACCGTAAAGCAACTGCAATTCTCAAAGAGTCATTATCCAGCAGTGTGCCTAAATGGGGTGAAGGCAATGCCTGCAACCACGCTCCTGATTCAGGCTTAATTGCAGCCTTTAGACGTGCCACGTTATCACCCGATGCCTCACCTAATAGCGATGTAGTGATCTCCCTACACAAAACATCATCCCATCCTCTCTGGACGACGACATTATCCGGCCGCTCATCACCCGGACAAACAGTGGACCACCTGGTAAGGGCCTCGGCAAGAAAAGGTATCCGGGTATCGTCACCATTGAAGGGTAATATACGAGTGACTAGCCCCAAAGACCTATGACCCGAAGCCAAGAAAGCCACCAAACCGATCTCTCAACACCGACGTACCCCCAGTCCGCCATGACGAATTGGAAGAGCAGCTTGACACCACTGTGATTCAGTTAGATGAACATTTAATATAGACTCAAGTGATGACTTCAATGTGTCGTCCAGCCTTGCCACATCGTCCTCGAACAACCAACTAGGAGAAGTTCTCAGAATATACAGCACGCGTGGCATCGCAAAACAGCTCCGCAATAAAACAAGCGAGACGTGTGCCGACAAGTTGTCCAAATGTTCCTGAGCTCCAACCAATGCCAACCTTTTATCCTCAAGAGCCGCACTAACCCCTTCGGGAAAGATGGGAGCGCCCAGTAAAGACAAAGATGATTTATGAAGTCGTCGCACACCTGGCACCAATAATTCCATGTCCGACAAAAAGCCCGATTCCACAGGACCACAACAATAAAGCTCACATTTGCTTGGGTTTATCTCCAAACCTATCGCCCTCAAAACGGGCACAAGGTTTTTTAAATCATTTAGCACCACTTGCGGGTTCCCACCAATCGTTCCATCATCCAAATACCATACGTTTAGGGGTGAATCCAAAGAATAAATAACTTTCTGTATGGCTAGACAAAATATTAAAGGCCCCAAAGGATCGCCCTGCTGAGCCCCGACTTGCGAGCTTACACACTCATTGTCAAAGAATAACTTGCTGGCTGTGGAGTAACACTGATGAAGAAACGGATAAATGGATGGTACCTGCTCCAGAACCTCCCCAAGAATAGTGTCCCTCTCGACACTATTAAAGGCATTCCTGATGTCTATTTTGAGTATTATGGCGTGCTTATCCTCATTTGCAAGAGCAAAAGCTCGAGTAGCGTGTATAGCCGCCTCACAACCTTGGGCAGTACCGAAGCCTATCTGAGTTGGTTGGAGATAGCTTGCCATTGAATCCTTAACCATTCGGCAGCACAGTTTGGCAGTTAGACGACGTATTGTGCAGCCTATAGCTATCGGCCTAATGCCTCCATCCTTCTTTGAAAGAGCACAAAGAGAAGCTCCGTACAAGTAAGGGCATATTACGGGGTTAAGTGATCCCTTTAACAAGAAATTACATAAATTCGTTATGGAATCCAGCAGTCGAGAACCATTGCTACCGGCCGAGGAAGATGTCAACTCCTTGAGATGCTGCGGGCGCAAGCCATCCAAACCAGATGCGGACCCGTTATAAAATGAACTAATAGCATCCCTCACTTCGACAGGCGTCATCGATACAGGGTGACTCGCAATCACTGGTCCCGGAGGAAACACTAGCGGCCTAGAAGGAATCGGATGCTTGTCCCGCAAAGATCCAAGAGTCCCCTCGTTCGAAGGCGCTAATGACGAGTCCGACAAAAGTAGGCGGACTGCACCCCTCAAATCGCCATCGTGAACCTTGTTTTCTATGCTCTTGTATAAAGACCTCGGTTTACGAGTGGTGCTTTCGGGAAAGTATAATGCTGTACTGACCACATTATCCTTCACCTTAGAAGTCAATGACTTCTTAGCACTGCTTTCAGGAACCCTAAGAGCAGAAAAGGAAAACGATAACAAAGAAAACCAATCCTCAACACTGTTGGTACGCAAGCAATTGTCTATTATGGAGCACAATTTTTCCGCGGCCAGGCTCCTCGCGCCCTTAGGTATATGTTTCAAGATGTGAACCCTGGCTTTAAGATCCGACAATTTGTCCAGACAAACTTCGTGATGAGTCGCTGTCCGTGAAGACTCGCCATCGCCCGAAGGCCCCGGTGCAACCGCACCCTGCCCCGAAAACGCCAGGCCGCCCGAATCAAGCAAGTCAACATCTCTGTGAATACGAGCAATGTGCACGTTAAGACCTCTTGGAACAATATAAAGTTTCAGTGATCCTGGGCAATAAGGACATGTAGTCTTAGAGGGGCTGCCCATTATTACGAAATTAAATTGAAATTTGTAAAATAAACATGTAAAATATATCTAAACAGTAAAATGATTTGATGTAAAATATTTCCAAAGATTCTTGTATAAAATCGCACTGAAAACATTGATACACATTGACAAAATTTGGTTAACATTCTTTCTTGAAATCCTAATTTGTTGAATTACAGATTACATTCATTTAAAACAAAACTACAATAAATAACAAATGTGAATCCGCAACGTAGGCTTCGTCAGGTTGTTAGCTTATCTTGTTTCACTACTAGCGGCTGTTATGCATTCCTGTGCTTTGTTGACATTCCTTTTTACTTAATTACTCGTGAAATAATCACGAGTCTTGTCTATTCATTTCAATTATCAATGAAATTGTTTTTTTTTATTATCGTTTCACATAAAAATAAACGGCCATAATCCACCACTCTGGTCGATAGCAGGTTGGAAACTTAATATATTAGCTCAGGGGGGTTGTGAGCTTTCTCCGAAATGCGGGTTTCATTACGATGTTTTCTTTCACCTCTAGTATAGGAACATGCTGCGAAAGGGTTTTGTAGTGTCTAAGCTCTTTCACGACTTATGGACCAACGGTAATAACAAGAAATCGTCCTCAGGTGCCATGCGGCAGTCCCTTAGAGGGGTCCGTGACAATGGACATTGCGGCGCGCGTGCGCGTGCCCGCGCCGGCGCCGCACGCCGCCTTCCTCACGGCCTTCGACGACGTGTCGGGCCTGGGCGCTTGGCACCGCCGCTGGTTCCGGCTGCAGGCGCCCCGCCTGGCCTACTGGAAGTACCCCGACGACGTGCACAAGAAGGTAATTCGCGAAAAATATCACTACTTCGGTAACGTCATATTACCTTGTTCATTTGGAAATAAGACATTGTGCAATATATCGTACCCTCAGGGAAAAAAAGGCATAAGACGAAAATACTGATTTTTC